AGTGCGCGCCCGCGCGTGCCCAGATCAGATAATTATTTTTAGTGCGCGCCCGCGCCTGCCCAGATCAGATAATTATTTTCAGTGCGCGCTCGCGCGCGCCCAGGTATGATATTTATTTTCAGTACGCGCCCGCGCGCGCCCAGACCAGATATTGTGCGCCCATGCACGCCCATGCACGCCCATGCACACCCAAGCTTGATATTGCTGTTAGAGAGCATGCCCATGCTCAAGCTTGAGAGTGTGCGCCCATGCGCACCCAAGCTTGATACTGCTGTTAGAGTGCGCGCCCATCCGCGCCCATCCGCGCCCAAGCTTGATATTGCTGTTAGAGTGCGCGCCCATGCGCGCCCAAGCTTGATATTGTTGTTAGAGTGTGCGCCCATGCGCGCCCAAGCTTGATATAGAGAGTGCGTCCATGTGCGCCCAGGCTGAATACAGTTATTTGAGTGCGCGCCCATGTGCACTTGCGCTGGATGCTGGTTATTGTTGTTTGAGTGCGATCCCACGTACACCTGAGCAATAGGATTGCTAGCTGGGATGATTTGCCGTCACGATCCCGCCGATTTATTTCCTTGCTGATCAAGAACACACCATGCACGTGATATCTTCCCTCTCACGGGGAGCATTGGCAGTCCAGTCCCTGCACAGATGACCTGGCTCAGTCTAGCCCCGGTACATTCAGCATTTGTGACTGGTCCCTGTGCACGAGATGTTCTATTGATCAGTTGTTGTTCAGTCGGGCCCTTCAGGTGGGCCTACTTGAGATTGTTGTTGTTCCGTCGGGCCCTTCAGGCAGGCCTACTTGAGATTGTTGATGTTCAGCCAGGCCATTCAGGCGGGCCTACTAGAGATTGTTGCTGTTCAGCCGGACCCTTCAGGCGGGCCTACTTGAGATTGAGTTGCTGATTCAGCCGACCCCTTCAGGCGGGCCCACTTCTCGAGATTGTTGCAGTTTTCAGCCAGGCCCCTTCGGACGGGCCCTTTCTTCTCAGATAGCTGCTGTTCAGTCGGGCCCATTCAGGCGGGCTTTATATTGAGTTGCTGTTCAGCCGGGCCCATTCAGGCGGGCTTTATATTGAGTTGCTGTTCAGCCGGGCCCATTCAGGCGGGCCCCATATCGAGTTGCAGTTCAGTTAGGCCATTCAGACAGGCCTCCACATTGAGTTGTCATCCGACCGGGTCTTGGAGGGAGTATCTGCACTAGTGATACTGCCCCTAAGTGGGGTAGATTGATTGAGAGTTTCTGCTACAGACATGAGGGACATCAGAATTTCACTATCAGGGCCAATGAGTCCTCGACCTCGAGACACACGCTTGTGATCAC